CAATTCAGCCCTTATCGACCACTCTCATCCCCATTCCCTCTGGTGATAATCGATTTGCTGGGAATGACTTCTTTGGGTTTGACTTTCTCTCCACTGAAGACGTGGATCCTGAAGCAGAATGCTGACTGGATTTGCCTCCAGGGAAGTTTGATTGTTGCTGATTTTTTCTCTCTCCCCCTCAACCTATTGATGTTGCCTTACTCAGCTGAGTGGTCTATGGTGTCTGTATAGGAGTCTCAAAGGTGTCAGACACCTGTCATCTTCTCTTTCCTCATTTCAAGTGAGAGGATGTAAGCGGGCTGCTGGTGTGTGCCCTAACAGTTGTAATTAGCTGAGACCAGCTCAATGCCTTTCATTCAGCTGAGGCTAATTAAGTAATTAAGGAAGCCCTCGCTCATGCATTTCAATGTCCATTTTTCTATAGGGTGTATTAGCTTAGAATTCACTACATTGTATCAAAAGCTTTGGCCGATTCCTCAAAATAAAAGAATAAAAAGCTTTTTTGTTAAAGAAAAGAATCCAGTCAGGGCCAGATCACACAGAGACGCAATGCTACAAACTGTGCTCCGCTCTTGCACCGCACGTTGCAGTTTTATAGCAATTTTTAGATTGCATAAAAATTAAAATATTTTCAACTTTGAATTTAAATGCACAGAGTTTCACCGCTCGTCATTGCCACAATTGCCCAGACAGCCAATGAAATCAAGCAAGAGGCTGGCTTTACTACCTTACTACTTCCTTCCTGTTTTGATGCTGTTTACTATGCCGGTAAAAAGGTTAGCTAGCTAGCTGTTAGACTGTCAGATAGCTGCGGAGCAGAGGTCTTAGTGGCTGATGAACCGAGACCTCTTTGAAATGAAGCCAGGGTTTACTCATCTAGAGCTCGATGTCTTGAATGCATTCATATTAGATCACCACTGTTCTTGACCTCTTTTGCAACAGCCAAAGCTTCCACTTTTAAAGGCAAACCCAAGTCGGGATTATGTTGCAGTTTGGAGTATGTCTGTTTCCAAAGGTGTAACCTGTTGCTTTGTTTAATTTGCAAATTGTTAGGTCAAGTTATCATAGAGATTAAATCTCTAATATTAGAGAAAAAATTATCTGGGTGGATGGATGGTCACACAAACACAGGACTTTCACCCAGGATACTGCTGTTTGTGTCCTGTGTGAAACCAAAGGTCTTTATTGTGTATTTAACGTATTTAACTTAACTGATGTATGTAATTGAACTTAACTTACATATGTAAGATTTAAGATTGTTACATTTCATTGTACAAGTATAAGAGTGTAAAATTCTAAGGGTTTGGCTCCTTGACGTTCCAGTAACAGCAATAAAAACAAAAACCAGACTAAAAAGCAGTTAAACGTACTAAAGAAAACACAATACAATAAGTAATTTAAGTGGCAATATTGTTTAGGTGATATTTACCTAAACCTAACCAAGTAGTTTCATTTTGTTGCCTAACCCTAACCAAACTGCTACTAACAACCTTAACAAGTCATCTGGCTACTGGTACCATGACAACGACGTAAAAGTCAAGCTTATAAAATGTGCCATCTGTAACAGCGTTAAATGACACCAAAAGCTTCAAATGCATAAACATTCATACAAAATGTCCTTAAAAGTGGCTTGAGGTTTAATACAGAGATTTTATACATCCAGAGAACTTCTATAAAATCCAGACCAAGCTGCTAATGGCAGACCTGCATTTATTTGTCAAAACGTGTAGCTTCAGCAGGCTTTAATTATGGAATAATAATAATTATAGAAACAAACTTAAATGCAACAAGGAGTAGAGTAGAGTAGATATCTATGCTGTAGTAGACAAAAATAGAAAAACTTGTTGGGCCTTTTTTGGCCACTTGGGGGCAGCAGAAATAACCTGTAAACACAACATTGACATCATCACATTTACAGTTGATATGTTGACATGTTGCTTATTTACACATTCCGCTGTTACTAAATAATGTTAGCATTCATTTGGAGTTCATTGTTGTAAGTCCAATATTTCTTTAGCTCTGTTTTGGTCTCCACCCACTCCTGAGGGAAATA